TTATATTGATTACTTCCTTCACTTTATCTGAGATATGTGATAATTTTAAAAAATATAGTGGGCCGAAGTATTTAATTTTTACTTCATCTATTAAATATTGGTATGGGAAAAATTACAAGAAAATCGATCAGATACAATTTTAAGCGAAATTATCAATTCCATATTTATATTTCTGGTTGATAAAAATATTTAGATACAGCTGGTTGTAAAGAATCGCTGACTTGTTTTGCAAGTTATAACCGATAAAAGTATTGAAAATTGTGTCCCTTTGTGGATGAGGTACCAAAAGGGGTTCGAAAATATATATCATCTTCGCAACACATAAAGCGAGTTGGATGCTTATTTCGCTTTCTTTGAGCGTTTTGTTTTTCAAAATCTTGAACCCTATGCGGTGAAGGTACCAGAAGGAGTGCGCCGATATATCCCATCTTCACAGCAGACCTTGTCTTAGTAGAAATAATGAGATGTGCGAAATTTTAAATGAACCGGAAACTTATTTCGCATTTTATGATCGATTCGGTTATTCAAAATGTTGACCCTTTGTGGGGGATGTACCAGAAGAAATGGTTCGATCTCTTCCATCTTCATAACAGATCTTGTGTTATTGAAAATGTTATTACCAACTTTATAAATGATCTTGTGTTGATGGAAATATTGAGATGTGCCAAGTCTAAATGGAATTGGATGTTATTTTCGCGTTTTATGAGTTTCATAAATATTCAAAATTTTGACCATTTGTGGTCATCTCCACACCAGACCTTGAGTTAATAGAAATATTGTGATGTGTGTAATTTGAAGACAATAGAGTTTGTGAGAGTTATAATAATTCAAAACTTTTACCCTTTGTTGGGAAGGAATTTGTCCATTTTCGCACCTGACCTAGCACTGATGCAAATATTAGGATTTTCAAAGTTGGAGCAAAATCGGATTAAATTTTCTCTTGTGCAGGAAATTATTTGCTTTGAAAACATTGACATTTTATGGGGCAAGTACTAGAAGGAGTGGACCGATATTGCCCATCTCGAATTCGATCTAAGTTTGACAATAATATTGCGATGTACCAAGTTTGGATGGATACACCCACCCTTCGAGAGTTGTCGTACACACCAGCCAGCCAGATAAATGTCCTGAAACGGATTTGATCCAAAGAGACTTAGGGTCTTAAACAGTTATTTCGATGAGGCACGTTTTGGTCATATCCAATAATATGTACCCTCTGTAGCCATATGGCTGAAAGTATAAGAAACTATAAGCCAAGTGATGATGGTAAACTCAATAGAATAATATCCAAGAATATGAAGTTAACGGGCATAATTTAGGAATTTCTTTTAAGTATTACCATAGCACATATAATTTCGATGAATGACAAAATTACTGTGGATACTTTAGCTCAATTCTGAGACTGTTGATGGGTACATTCTTCTAATTGCAAATATAAAAAATACAATGCATGCATATTGTCGGTGTCATGCTTATGTGTTCCATACACCAAAAATTGCATCTGGAAATGCTAGTGGCTGATTGAAAACTGTTATTACCAAAAATTTCGGAAAATTTAACCTAAGAAATTCAAGCTCTGTCTTAGACAGCAGCTTTATTATAAATTATCATCAATGTCTCATAACAGCTGTGATTTTGTTTCAGAACAAAAGGGTGGTATATATCTAACAATAAATAACTTCAGCGAATTGTTGTTGTTCTATCTCCTGTATAGTTTGCAACATAACTTATGACACCAGCTTGAGTTGCATACGAAAAAAAAATATTCCAATTGTGAAACAATTTTGAATTGAGGTTTACACATCTCAAATCTCAGCTTACATATGGGCACACGGACACATTTGTTTACATTCTTAATTCTACCCCAAAACATAGGAACTTATCAAGTCTTAATTTTATAAAACATTTGCTTTCTTTATTTTAAAGAAATCCAATGGTTTTTATTATTTTAATAAAAATAAATCGATGGCATCCAATAGTCACTGACCATTTTTACACACATGCCACCATCCTCCCGATAATTGTATTGATGGTTGTTTGTTTTTGTTGTTGTTATATTACACAGCACAACTATGAACTAGATCAGGCTTAAGCAGTTTCCATGGGTTGGGCAGCGGTTTCTTCGGTGTATTTGCCCTTATCCTTGCCCAAAGCAGCCAAACGTCCCTTGCCGCGACGTTCCAAGATAGCTTTGCGATCCTTGTCCAATTTCAATTTGACAATCAAACACTTGGAGGGATGGATGCCGACATAAACGTTGGTACCGTTGGCATTTTCACGTTGGATCTTCTCAATGTAGACGACAAACTTCTTACGGTAGGCTTGGACAACCTTGCCGACTTGGTTACCCTTGAAGTGGCCGCGCACAACTTGTACTTCATCATCCTTGCGAATGGGCATGGAGCGAACGTTGTACTTTTGACGCAACTCCTTGGAGAGGGGAGCCGACATAAGGCGACGACGAATGTGGGAGGGGGCCTGGAAATGGCGCTTGCGGTTCTTTCTGCGGGAAGATGTCACGAACTTGTTCAATTTCATTTTGGATGTGCTTTGTTGGGTTCACTGCAAAAGAAAAAGGAAACTATTAAAAACCAGGCCGATAATTTAAAACACACTAACTTAAAACACTAATTAAGCGTTAGTGAAAATGAGGAGAGATTTTCTTTACACCATCACATATATTTGTTTACTTCGTACGAAGCAAAGGAAAAAACATTAACAAGTCTTTGTATTTTTAAGGCGGCATCACTTCAATTGGCATTTTTTCATTTTCATTAACACTTCTCGATAAAATTTTCATTTTTTATAATTGTTCAGCTAATTGTGAGAATCCTTCACAACGTAATTCAATTCAATTCTTTTCGTAATACACGATGTTTTTTGATTTAAAAATTTCACTGAGAAAACTTACACCAAACAACTATCGTAAAAATACGAAAAAGAAAGAAATTGACAGTTGCGCTGTCGGAAGTAGCAGCGGCCAGTTGTCAAAAGTGTTCGTTAAGTTTCTCATATGTCATTGTCCAAATACAACACTAAACTAAACGAAAATCATGCCAGAGTTGCAATTGGGAAAATATTTAAAAATAAATTGACCTTTATATGCAAGGTGGTGCTTTTTCTTAAGACCCCATGAAAATATAGAAAAAACAAAGAATCGATTAAAACCAAGTAATGGTGTGTATCCCACAAAATTCTCCGATCCGATTTGTAGCCTCTCACAAAACATGGGTCCGATTCATTTCTTTGATCTGGCAAAATATCGATGACCGCACCATTCGATATCGTTCGGTTGTCAGCTCTAACAGTTGATGGGGTTCGTTCGTATTTGTTGCGTTGTTTTTCACGTGGACCAAGAGAACATTAATTAAAAAAAAAAAATCTTCAATAATGGCTGAACTAATGGTTCGTAGGAAAATCTGATCCCATTCCATATTCGCCGATAAACATTATCGTTACTGTTTTCAGCACGGAGCGTCTTTATTATCGAGGCCAGCCGACGAGTTCGGAAATGATGGTCTGGTGGAGGAGATGTGGGCAGTCAAAGCTATGGATCATGCCGAAGTCCATTTTAATGTAGGTTTTTTTTGCGGAATTACGGTAATAAGAGCAGGACATTGAACAGACAATTATCTGATGATTTCGAAATTGTTCGGGCCACTAGTTATTTTCTCCATATATGGACATTTTTTAAATTCCTTAACACTAGCTAAAAACCTAGCGAGGAAAGGCCAGAATGTGGGCCAATGTATAAATCAAATCGAAACCAATTGGGTTCAGGTATTTCTAGGTTGTATGTGATATCTTGTATATAATATAGCATTTACGTCTTTGGTAATATTACGCATTTAATTTATCAAACGATTCAGAATATCATATAAAAGGAGCTGGGTTTCTTGTTGTCTCCTTTTGCCTGTAACAAACAAATGCACATAACCCTAGTCTCTGCCATAGTGAGGTATTGTACATTAAACTGTCATATTTCAAATGCTACATTAGCTAGAAAAAGGACAGCTCATTGGACCACAGATATTAAATGTCCTACCATTATTCCTCAGTTACACGGCTTTGCGCATCCGCAACATCATGCCTTTAACAAGACTTTTTCTCCAATTCTCTTGCAGTTGATAACTAGTGTTCACCCATCCTGTCTCAGACTAACGCCCTACGATGATCAGATCTACCAAACTTTTCGCCAAGATTTTCCAGATTTGAAAGTCGACATACTTTCTGATGACATTTTAAAATCACCTGAAGCTAAATTGGCTTGGCGTAACTTTGCCGAAAAATTCAACAAACTAGAAGACTACTCTTACGGAACCTTAATGCGGTATGTATGAAAATTTTGCAAAATAAAGATGGTTATTTAAAAAATAATTGTTTTAGCGCCGATGCATCAAAAGAATTTTCCCCTGAAAATTCCCTACTTGTAGTTCGCATCCAATTCTTGGCCATTGAAATCGCCCGCAATATCGAAGGTTACAATGATGAGGTGTATCGTAAATTTAGACCTGCCCCCAAAACACTGCTGACAAGTGAAAACAATGGAAGCCAACAGCAGGAAGTTTCTCAATGAATATAATGCCACCATTAATGTTAGCTTCGAAATAAGGATATTTTTACAAGAAATATTTATGTAGCTTTTTAGACACCTGTATAATTTAAGTAATACTTATTAAATTAAAATGTATGTTTCGGATCATCCCAACATGAAAACAATAGTATTTACTGTGTTCTGACTAACGAAATCTTTAAGCGATGGCTGATTTGTCAGTTATGTGTCCAGCCTCTGATTCACTTCGTGTAATGCTAAATAAAAATTCATCTGAGTCTCGGCTGGTATCTAAACCGAGGACCTCGAATGGGCATGTCTATCGTAAGCTATCCACACATCAAATATGTCCGATGAGCAGCTTAACCAACAACGAAACGCGTCGCACAGTGGTGAGAGTTTTCCCTTTTCATTAAGCCAGCCCGTAACAGAAAAAAGTGCACATCGCTGAAGGTTAAATAAGCTTTATTTTATTAAGATTATTATGTGTGAAAAATAAAAAAAATCGAATCATTTTATATGAAGTACATTGGATTACACTCCATAAAAACAGGTTTAATAAGACGCTGCTCGTATTCACGTTTCAAATCTTTCGAGAAAGTTCTTGATCTAAAAAGAGGAACAAAATTATTGATAGGATACAAATTTCCTTTCAGAATAAAACTTACCCTTCTAAATAAACACGTCCACGAAATGCTACCAAATGCGCTAAATATGCAGGAGCCGGATAGGAAACAACTCGATTACAACGTGGAAACAAGTGACACAAATTATATGTAAGTTGTTGCAAAAGATCTATATCGAGGTTTGACTCGTCCATGATAACGTTATAGCGAGTAGGTTTCGCTGTACCTTGGATCGATTGATGGCTAACCATGAAGAACTGAACTTCGTTCGGATGAGTAATGTGCTGGTCGACAACAGTGCCTGGTACCACATTGTTAAAATCGCGGTCGTCGCGTGGTTGTGTCATGGGGAAAAACCTAGTGTGGTGTCGCTTAACAACAATGATACAGGTCAATTTCGGACTGCATTTCTGTGTGATTGAATATAAAGAAAGAAACATACATAGACACATTATAGATACGCAGGTGTTGATTATGATGGATTACATTGAAGGCAAAGTTATTTACCAATTTGGCGCAAGCTCTTTTTATTGCCTTTAATTCAACATTCGCAATGATGGGGAATTGGCCATCCGACACGCCGTCTCTGTAGTAAATAATCTGAGAAGGATACGTTTTCATGTATTTGAAATAGACCTTCAAATGTTGGGTTGCGATCGACTCCATGTCTTCGATGTCTTCTCTAGTCGACTGTTGCAATCTGTATTGCATGTTATAACAAGCTCCAAATGGATCGTGTGAAGCTGTGACTCCAACAACACTAGGAATGTGACGCTGATCGGGGGACGGGTGCGTTACGTCGGCGCCCATAAACATCACATTTTTTAATGGTGTCATCATCTGTTTCATGGCAATATCCCTATCCTGAGATATTTTGTGATTGGTTCCGTTAAGCTTCCCGTTTACCTTTAGGAGTATATTCGAAAAAACTGTTAGATCTCTTGCAGTTCGTCCGATAGTTTCCTCCTTTATACACTGTGTTAGAATTCCAACTCTCAATTCGGCGTTTTGCTTTATATCGGAATAAGTGGTTCTACTGTTTCTACCCAAGACAACAAATACCAGGGCATACTTTTGTTTTGCAAGATCCGCAAGTGTGGCATTGATATTGCGATATGCTATAATTTCGGCCGAGTTTTCAAGGTTCATATTCAAATTTTTTGAGGTGGTTAAGACCTGCCAAAAAAGAACACGTTTTAACCTAATTCATTTTTCACATTTATAATGCTTACCTTATTTTTAAATTGCTCCAAATCTCTATAACTCATCCTCGATCGGGGATTTTCTTCGTATATTATACCCCATTTGTGGCCTGCTCCGCCTTGTGGTTGAGAACAAGTCAAAAATTTTAGTCCATCCATACGCCAAGCACCACGACTTGTTCTAACTGTTTGTCCGTTCAAATACTCCATTAATGGTGATGGTAAAACACGGATTGGCACCTTAATAAAACTGGAACCGATTTGGATACCAAACGACTGGACTATTGCGCTGGCATTATGATTGAAATACGTCAACATATCCATGATTTTTGCCTTGCGGAGATTGGTTGAAGTTGCGGCAAAACGTATCATCTTCTGCACTTGTTTTGATTCGTCTTTCCGCTAGACACGATTTCAGCAAATAAATACATGTTGAGGAAACTATGATATGTGTACTTACATTTAATGCCTGACCTTCGGCAATCTTACATAATTCCATTGGCAAATAGATTGAACGGACCGTAGAACCAACTTTCACACAGTTCAATTGTGGATACTTAAGAATATAACCTCGGGATTGAAAGTATGCAGCAATAGTCATCTGTGCACCCTCATCGTTTTTAAAAGTCAATTTCGAAGCAGAATCCCCTAAGCCCATTACTTTGTATCTCTTGTCAAAACTTCCAAATGACGCTGGTGGTTGATACACAATGTCAATGTTTTTTAGGTATCGTTCAACATTTCTGTATTCGTAACTTTCCAAAGGTTTTTCCAAACTGATATTATTGTTTGCCAAGTAATCGAGCAGAGGAGATTCACGTGGAAATGACTTGTGGGCAATATCAACATTAAGAAACGGTACTTCACCCAAGATTGCAGCCTGGAACAAACCTGTCCAGGCTTCGTATCCATCCTCTAAATCGAATGGGTTTCTGGGTCTGCAAAAAAAGGAACGTCCAACACGAATGCTCCGTTCATTGTTACTTTCCGACAAAATTACATCTAAAGCTTGCAAGGCTCTCATCGGTTTGTCGGAAACTTTTTCATTGTGGTATCTGCAATAACAGCAATAGCAATAACAGCAAAGTCAGTTCAACTGCATTTCTATTGACTTACGTTCTTAGTGAATTGAGATCCACAACGCAATCGGTAGTTTCCTTAATTTCTACTCGAAATTCTTTCGTACGGTTGCCCGAATCTGGAACCTAAAAAAAACATTGTAACCTGCCCAGCCCTTAATTTAGAAACTACGTACATGAACTGTATGTTCGATTGGACCCGGAAGTCGCACTGGGGTATAGCAACTTTTTCTGCCATCAAATGCAGCTTCAATACCACCGAAAGTTTCCCTTTTGCACTGTTGAAATGCAGGACGCATACATTTTTTTGGCCGATCTGGTGTAATTGTTACGTCGTAGTGGTAGGCTTCATTTGGCATATTATCAAGAAGCAATCGTAAATAATTCACTTCTACGACACCTTCTGTACCACGTGTTCCACGAACAATACCAGCACAGGAGGCCTTTTTTACCGGAAGGATCTTTTCTATAAAAGTTAATGGAATAAAGGTAATGAGAAATTAATTAGAGGATGTTGAATAATGCCACATATCCTTTCGGACACGCACTGAAACCAGTGTTTAGTTACCTTCCGAAAGTGACAAATTTTGGAATGATGTCACAACTCTTTGCTGTTCTTGCAATTGCCTTTGTTGAGCTGCGCCTCTCTGTTGCTGTGGACGGTTGCTTCCTCCTCCCGATCCTCCTTGTTGTTGTGGGCCAGGCCCTCTTTGCTGCTGTTGGGCACCCTGATTGCCTCCCGATCCACCTTGCTGTTGGCCAGGACCCCTTTGCTGCTGTTGGGCACCCTGATTGCCTCCCCATCCACCTTGCTGTTGGCCAGGACCCCTTTGCTGCTGTTGGACACCCTGATGGCCTCCCGATCCACCTTGCTGTGCACCTGGACCTCTTTGCTGCTGTTGGGCACCCTGATTGCCTCCCCATCCACCTTGCTGTTGGCCAGGACCTCTTTGCTGCTGTTGGGCACCCTGATTGCCTCCCCATGCACCTTGCTGTTGGCCAGGACCCCTTTGCTGCTGTTGGGCACCCTGATGGCCTCCCGATCCACCTTGCTGTTGGCCAGGACCCCTTTGCTGCTGTTGGGCACCCTGATTCCCTCCCGATCCACCTTGCTGTTGGCCAGGACCCCTTTGCTGCTGTTGGGCACCCTGATTGCCTCCCCATCCACCTTGTTGTTGACCAGGACCCCTTTGCTGCTGTTGGGCACCCTGATTGCCTCCCCATCCACCTTGTTGTTGACCAGGACCCGTTTGCTGCTTTTGGGCACCCTGACTGCCTCCCCATCCACCTTGCTGTTGGCCAGGACCCCTTTGCTGCTTTTGGGCACCCTGACTGCCTCCCTCAGATCCTCTTTGCTGTTGTGCTGTTTGTTGCGGGACACCTTTTTATGTAAGTACGTATCATTGCAATTTATAAATGTTAAAAAAACTACCAACATACCTTGTTGCTGACCAGGTTTCTGAAGTTGCTGTTGTCCACCTTGTCCTCCTGGTTGCGGTGTCTGTTGTCCTTGCTGCCCTTGTCCACTTTTTTGTTGACCAGGGACTTGGCTCTGCTGACTGCCTTGGCCTATATATTATATTGGAAAATGTTTTAATACTACTATATGCCTGTTTTAATTGCGAAATAATGTTGCCATGAAACTATTAGTCAATTTACCTGATTGGGTGTTTTCTTGCGATCCTTTTTGAGGGTCCTGGGTTTGTTTTTTCCCAGACGAATCCGATTCGGATGACTTGTACTCTAAACACAAAAAACACGTAGATGTCCACAAAGTATTTCATCATACAATTCAACAAACAGACAAACAAATGTTAGCCAAACAAAAAGTTTTCTATTTTGGGAATACTCACTATTCTTTTTTCCCATGGCTGTTCAAAACTAGCTTTCTTCTATAAAATATGTATTTTTCTAATAAAATCTGCAAAAAATCTTTATTAATTTGAAATTAAGTCGAATTGTCCCGAGTTTTATTCCTTCTGTAGGTCTTTGTGTATATGGTTTCAGCTTTGTTGTGTTGGGCTGCTGCGTTTGTTGCTTATATACTCCTCAGTTTAGGGTTGCCATTCTTCCTCTTTTTAATCAGTATAATTAGAAAAACATTGTCGATTTGATAGAATTAATTTAAAAACGTTGGCTCAAATGCATTTTGTTATATCGCGAGGTGCATTGTTCACAATTATGTACTCTATATCCATCTCTCTGAAACCTATACTTACGCTCAATTTATATATTAATTTTTTGTTAAACTTGGCAACTCTTTTTGGGATGAAAATTAACATATTTGGGTTTAATAGCGTGTGAATTCCCAAGTTCGTATTTTGTTACATCAAAAAAAAAAAAACAAAGTTAAATTGTGATGCAATCAGTGTTGCCGTTTTGGGTGTTTCCGTCCAAATTTGGGCAGAAAAAAGATAAATTTTGTTGTTTGGGCGGATTTTGGGCGGATTTTTTCCATATTGGGTACAAATTTATTTTTCTTTGTTTATTTTTACGTAATTTAATTTTTTTATTACTAACTGAATTTTATATTTTTTATTGAGATAAATCGTTATTTATTTTATAGATTTTTGTTAAGTTTTCTAATAATATAATTAGGCTATAGCCGTGCGGGGCCGACCATGTGATACCCTACAACACTATAATATGTTAGAAGCACCCTCATGTCCAAATCCATTTTGGAAGATTTCGCTTTTGAAATTATGTCACGGAGCACTGCCCAGATATTACCCTTAGCATTTTGACCAGGGACATTTTGCTGTTAGTTTTTGTGGTCCATTTTACGGCTAAATATATTCCAATGGTCATCCAAAATGCCAGAATTCTTCCCTGTGCTTACCTATCTTCTCAGGCGCGTCGATTGGCTTCAATTGTGTGATCAGGAAAATTGTTTCTGTTTTTGGGTCATTTAAACCCCTAAATATTTTGCGATCATCTCCAAAAGCAAGAGGTCCCTCTGTGTCTCAAAATTTAGACTCATCTATATGATTTGCTTGTCTACGATATTTGGCTATATTCGTAAACGAAATCAGCATAAAAAAGCCAGAAGTTCGCCTATTGTGTATCGCCTGTAAGTAATGTTGGTATTTTTTTACACAAAAGTAGTGGTCCATTCTACCCGCTGTCCTAAGATCTAACTTCATGCGAGATTTCGTGTACTTAGGTTTATATTTGGGACCTTTATAACGGCTGCAAAATCAGGAACATTTTGAGTTGCTGGTCAATTTCAACCCCTAAATATATTGCGGACATCTTTGAAAACAATAGGCTAAGCCCTTCTGAGCCTAACCCTACCTTTGTGAAAAATTTCGTGAGGATCGAACGATAATTGCAATCTGTATATAAATAATAACCCTAACCTGTGTTGTAAAGTGAAAAAATATTACAAAACAAATACTTCAATATTATAAGTCAATTTGAAAAAATGCCACAAGGGCATTCTAAATTGACAAAATTTTGTTAAAATCGCTCCAGCCATTCTGAAGATATAAGCATTCTAGCTGACATCCCCTTCCTTTGTATATATACATTGTATATATTTCTCTATATATATCCGATATTTTTACTATCGGCATCTATGTAACGGTCAGAATTGACCTGTTCGTCTATTTGTGATTTCGCCGGCAGTAAAAATATTCGCGGAGTAATGGAAAATTTGACTTTTATTTATCGCAAATGCTATGGTCTACTAAACCACTAAATATTACCCGATGACCATCGAAATTGGAAGGCTTCTGCCCAGTCCAAAATCTAGCCCCATGCTAAATTTCGCTTCGATTGGTCTATAACTGTGACCTGTAGAGCAACTGCAAAATCAGGAAATTTTTCAGTTCTTGGTCCATTTCAACCCCTACATATTATGCGATCATCTCCAAAAGAAATAGGGTTCTATTCTGACCTTAACCCCAGCTACATTGTAAATTTCGTGAAGCTCGGGCCATAATTGCGATCTATAGAGTGATTACGAATTAACATATAATAAATTATAAATACATTGATTGTAATACATTGAATGTAATAAAACTTGAGTACCTTTTTTATATATTTTTTTTTCAATAAAATTTACTTGAATACAAACACATATAAATTATTCAACTTTTTACAGTTTGGGCAGATATGGTCGATTTTGGGCGGTTTTTAGAAAAAATTTGGGCTGAAATAAAAATTTCAAACGGCAACACTGCTTAAACCATACAAAATCACTTTTTAAAATTAAAGTCGCCGACTATAGCCGACTCTTAGCCGCCGTCATCGTTAATTTCACATCGGCTTTGCTCTCTGATACAAAGTTCAGTAGTGCGACTCTCTGACTGGTTGGAGATAGTTATCGATAACAATTATCTTCTATTGCTTATTTCGATAAATTAAGCATATGGAAAAAATCGCAATTGCTCTTGTCCAGTACCTGCTACCCCCTAAATACAATTTTTATACCCACCACCATACTATGGAGGGTATATTAACTTTGTCATTCCGTTTGTAACTCCTCGACATACTCATGTCAGACCCAACAAAATAAATATATTCTTGTCAGCGTATAAGTCGATTTAGCGATGTCCGTTTGTCTGTCTGTTGTAATCAGGCTATCTTTCGAATGAATTGAGATAGATGGCTAAAATTTTGCACACATGTTTATTTTTCCAGTAGGCAGGTTCAGTTCGTGAATGGGCCATGTAGGTTCACGTTTTCATATAGCCTCCATATAATGGTACCTCCCTATATTCGGTATTTTGATGATTTTAGCGACATTATTCACCGGAATTGTTTCAAATTTGGTATTTGAAGTTCGTAATGGATACTACAGTCTATAACAGAAAATTGTCTGTACAGGACCAGTTCTTCGTATAGCCCCCATATAACGGTACCTCCCAGTATTCGGTATTTTGATTTTTGTTTTTCTTGTGTATTTATTATTGTATATATTTTTGTTAATATAATTCAATGTTATAATAATAATCATAATGTTTTATCATTGTTTAATATGTATATATAAGTTAAATAAATTACAAATACTCACTAGTAAAACATGTAAAACGGAGTAGGGTTTTCACTTTTCTGAGAAAGTTTTTCACTACAAAAGGTTCGGGCGGATCTCCGCTCCGTTTTTATTCTAAATATTGCTTGCTTTCTTTGTTGGTTTGTGGTTGTGTTGTTGTGTTTTGTCTAACTTATAAAGGATATTACAAATAACTATTTTTTTCCAAGTTGTCATTAAATCTAGTGGGTTTTTTAAAAACTCACTCTCAATGAAATGAAAACAATATTTTCGTTTAATTTCCCTAAACAAATTCATTTGGTTTTTCTTTTTCATTACATAACTGAACTTATTCGTAAAGAAAGACTTAACATTGAAAATAAGAAAGAGAAGTGCATAAAACTGATGTCGTGTCCCAAAAATGTTGATTTTCTTGTTTTTTTTGTGTGTGTCTGGTCTAGGTAGAAAATATGATCTCCAAATGGTTTTGCTACTGTCCAAGATGAATGGTCCAAGGAGCTGGAGTATGTTGTCTTTGTCAGGATTGTGGGGGATGTTTAATACTTAATAAATGCTACAAAAGCTTCGGTTGCTTCTTATTGTTGTTCGTTTTTATGGTTGTTTCCGTATTGTTTTAGCATAAATAAAGTGTAGTAATAAGTTTAGAAGGTGGTGATCAACGCTGTTGATTTAAAATCGTTCAACGATTTACGTATGAACAACTTCCACATAATTTGCAGGATACAGACCAACGCGACCGTTCATACGTCCCTTACACCAACCCTGTTCATCTTCATCTTCCAGTTTTTCAAACACATCGCCTGTAAATTTAACGAAGCAATATATTAGACATACACATGTATGTTCACATATAAATAAATAGTGACTCTGGTTCTGTCCATACCTTGTTTAAATGTTAATTCGTCACTTTCAGCGCCGTCATAGTCATATAGGGCTTTAACTGGAACTCCGGGTTCGCCATTATCAACCAAAACATTGTCACCCTCATCCCATTCTTCTTCCTCTTCGAAGGGATTGGCATCAGTTGAATTCGATTTGCCATTGCTGTTGCCATCGATCATCGTAGCCAAAAGCAAAAATTTCGTTGTGTAAATGATATGTCGTTAGCTGATATTGATGTTGTAATTAATTTCAATAATACTTACGTTACGCTCGAGTTGCGAGTATGTGTTGTTTTATTTGATGCAGCTGTCGCTGTTGCTGTTGTGGGCGAGGTAGCTGTAGAGGAAGAATCTGGTTTGACCGATGATTTAAATGTTTGCGAATTATTCGATTTTTTCAAACTAGATGTGCCCGAATATTCCTAAATGTAAACAAATACCAAATGAGAAACTGCCAATAAGAGAGACAGAGAGAGATTGTGTAAATAACGTTTAAAACATACGTGTAGATCTTCATTAACCGGCCTTTGGTTAATCAAGGTAATTGGGGCTGCTGGCAAAGCTTCTTTTGATTTACTACCCTTTGCTATATCCCGGAATTCTTCGGTGTATTCCTAAGAGAAAATACATTTTGTATTAAAGGTCTGTTAATTAACGATGTCGCTAAGAAAACCTACCACAAAGGCAGGCCAGTTCATTGCCATGTTAACACCGTGATTATTCGACCACCATTTCAAATCTTTTTGATGATCGGCGTTGTTGATGGTGTGGTAAAACTCTTCATATATTTGCGGTAAGCTATGCAAAATATAAACCCCGTATTGTTTATAATATTTAGCTCTTGACGAAGATATGACTTACCTTGGTACCTTGGTTAGATCTAAAACTGCGTGCAAATTGAATAATACCTCTTTAAAGAACTCCAGCCGAGTCTTTTCCATTGCTTGGCACTTTTCAAAAACTGACGTCATATCTTCTATATACACGGAATTGTATTTGGTTATCTCAGCTATTGCCTGTTCATATTTCTCTCGGCACTTCTGAACCTGGTCTTTAGTCTTTTGAACGCGATCATGCATTTTTTTCACCTACGAGATAAATTCACAATTTGTTTTTATTTTGAGTACTAACATATTGGTAACAAAGTGGTAAAAGAAAATTAGATCAAGTTGCACCCTTTGATATAGGCCCCATTAATATATACCCTGCTATATAACTATACAAAGATTTGCATCATATTTGAAAATTTACTTGATTTTTGTCTAGAATTTTTTCGAATACATTGATTGGAAACCTTTTTGTCTTACCCTTGATGGTACAAACATTTCAAATTAACAAGCAGACTTTTTTTCAAAACATTGAGGAAACTACTCTGGAGGTAAGCATAAACATTTTTGAATAACCAAAATAATAAAAGCTCAAATTGAACTTGGAAAAACTATCCGTGTCTTTGCGTATCCCTCAAATACGAAGGCTGTATGAAGAATTGCGAGACATTGGACTCAATCGTTTACAAAGATCAACGCTTTTATGGCGTCTGATTCATTTTCACAATATTTATAAAATAAAGTTTAATTCCGGGACGCAGTCAAACATAGAAGCATAGATCTACGCTTAGACAACTTTTGCAACATATTTTTGCTTTACATTCTGAGGGGCAGTTCTTGTCCCATATTTCAATCTGACCCTTATCTACCGTTATGTTAGGGTCCATATTTTTACGCATAGTCTCACTAAAATTCTTGATATTTTCTTCTTATCTATTGGTCGACCTTCACTCCAAGTCGTAGAATGTGACAGATAAACTTTCCACAATGCTATAATATCATTCTCAAGATAAGAAAACTTGCGTGAGATTATTAGTTTAATGGCCCTTACATACCTGATCTGGCGACAGCGAGCTATCCGCGGTGGCATTACGCTCTTGGTTTGTGGCACTTTTTTCTGTTTTGCAAGCAGCATGATATTCCGATTTTGCCTTTTCAACTTTGGCCAATAATTTCGCCCACGTTTTCTGGGCCTTTTTGAATAGGTCTTCCATGTCTTTGCGTTCCTTGATCTGCATCAACGTATGATGGTAGTTATCTTTTTGCCATGCCTTGATCTGGCTACTAACGTCACTGCACAAATTCTCCTTGATCTTCATGTGAACATCTGATATACGTTCCGATTCTGTTAAAACGCCTTTCCAGGCAGCCTCTGTTGTGCCATATTCAGGCCCTGTAATTGTAAAAACACACACATACACAGTGATACACATACAAATCCAAATCATAAGCAACATAATACATTGCTTTGTCAACGTCGTCCATATTATGTCGTCTTGATGTCTTTTCTAAATAGAACAATAGAAAGCCTTAATTCCTCAACGACAAAAGCTACGGTGTCATTTGCTATTGGGGACTAGCATGAGTTGGAATCAGTTGAGTGGCCCGCCTGCATTTCTAATATTCTTTTGGGGTGTCATTGATTTTCGAAACCTTTTCCGTGTAAATACCATCAATGTACATGTAAAGCAAACTACAGCAAAGACAACAAGTAAAGCAGATGAAAACAAAAGGAGAAGCCCCCTCCGCCCATTCTGTGCCTGCTACTCTGGTAAGACACACACAATAAGGCTTTCGTTAATGTTGTCATTTACGAGTAGTACACATAATGCCCTACTACCCGGTCAAATAATGCCTGCCACCACATGTGAAACTGTTGATTCCACTGCTTACTGATCAATTGAGATTGTTTAAAGGCGGCATGGGGGTTCGTCTTCCAGATTCGAGGTAGTGTCCAATCTTTTGGGGAGTAGTGGTAAAGTTAAGTCAGAGAGAAAACTAATTCAAGACTACTAATATTTTGTTGTTGCTGTTTTATTTTACAATCATTGTAGTGCGAATTTGTCTGTATGTTCACTATTGCTACAACGGTTGCTATTTTCATCTTTCAGTACTTATTACTGGCTTGTTATTATGCATTCATTGCGGCCGTTTTTTTTTTTTTGCATGTTTGTCTTTCGTTTTGTTGTCTTCCAAGCAAGTGTCTGTTGACTATTTTCAGTATTTAGTATGACGTAACATTAATGATGCCTCGCTTTGAATATCGACAAAAATGTACAAATAGTTATGAGCTGCAATCACAAATTTATTAATAAACACTAAATGATAACATCCATATGTGTACGTAAATGTACGTTTGTACGTAAAGGTAATAGGTACCATATCGAATTGTGTATTTTCATTAACACATTCCACAGAATGGGAATGGGCTATTGTAGATATCCTCAACATTTTCCATCAATTGTCATTCTTTGGTAAAAACCTGCAAGAGACCAGGTCAATGTACTGCTTGTGCAGGAAGTAGGTAAATAGTGTGCGATGAAGAATCCAATAAATATTGTCATTTCATCTGATGACCCTTATAAAAGCAAGAGTTAGCTTTGTTTAGGTTTACACTCCCAATTTTAAATATAACAATAGTAAATTAACAACAAATTTAATTTGCTGAGCTAAAAGGAACATAATCGTTCATATATGATATACCGAAGATATAAAAAAAATATTTCATTCACAATTTTTATTATTGTGCAGACAGGTAGACGAAAGAAACGTGTCCCAAAATATGTGCCAAATACTTCAATCAATTTAGAAAATTCGTAACAATAAAAAAATGGGGCTAAATACTAAGAATGTTATTAATCTGTCGAAAGTGGTATAAGAGCGAGGGGGAAAAATATATTTTAGTCAATGGCCAATTTGTTCGTGATGTTGTAGTTGTTGTTGTTGGTGCTGTTAAACTTCTTCGTCTTCTAGTTAAGGCAAGTCAAGGCAAGACAAGAAGAAGAAACTGATAACTTTGGGTGATGGTGACGAAAGTTGCTGCTAACCGAACAAAAACAAAGTACAACAACGTGTTTGTGAAGAACATTCATACTTCCCAAATTCAATAAGAAATTTTGATTTCACTCATACGCCAGCAAGCCAGCCAGCCAACTCGCTGCTATAGCAATAATGACTTATCATGGTATGTGGTTAGTAAATTTTAAAATAGTAAATGATGTTGGTCGCAAAAAAAAAAAAAAAAACCGAATACGTTAATATAAAAAGAAGTCTTTAAGATTGTCCAGAAATAGAACGATAAATGCGTGTAATAGGGAGTGTGTGTCTGTTTGTTTGTTCTGTCAATACTGTTTATGAGTTTACCTTTCTCAATTAGTTCAGCCCATTTTTTTGACCAAGCACGCAAACTTTTGGCATATGATTTTTCTATATCAGCTCTTTCTTGTATGAGCTGTTGTAAGTCATTGCAGAGTCTATAATTAAACGAAATTTAGAAAAGAAAAGATAACAAGAACCGATCAATATGTGTGAAGTTGAAAGTGACACCAAAATAAAACAATGTATACTCACTTGTAACCATCCTCTATGCGTTTGGTGGTACGTTTGTAGTTGCCAGGCTCCCAAAACGATTCACTGCCAGCTTCTAATAATTGATCATCGCTGTGGTGCGACATTTTCTAAAAGTAAAAATAAAAAAAGGAAAAACAATAATGAGTGAATAATGAATGATTCAATCGTTGATCAGTCTATTTCAATTTAATTGCACGAAAGAATTTTAGGGCATGGTTCAGTTTTGTAATTTTATGTATTTTAAACAACGCGTTTCTTCACCAACCCAACCAAACGACAAATACTAGATTTAGATTGTAAACTAGACAGAAATATACATATTTCCATTTCATAATTGATAGAAATTAAAAAAGTACTTTGAGATGAGCATCAAAAATGTTATTGCCTTGTCATCAATTGGCGAAATTGGTATTATTAACCATTCCGTTGAATGAATTTCTGCAATGAATGAAACCTGCAAGAATATTATGCCAACAATAATAATTTAAAAATTTTAATTGCAAAATTAATTAATTCCATCCGCTTCCTATTAAAAAGTTTGAATATTAATTTGGATATTGCCTCGATTTTAACAAGTGACAAAATCAGACTATCTTCTGAGGTTCCTACTTTAAAATAATCGTATGAAGGGTTAATATTCTCCTGGAATTGACTATTTCCATAACATAATTCTTGTTTAGATTGTGATCCGGGTAAAATGGGTTTTTATGAGGAACTACTGATAATTCTTTATAATCAATTATGTTCCCCTCATTACCGGTAATCGGTTTTTGATTCTACGGGAAAAGTCAGCTTCCAGGGGAGTGAAGTAGGACAACAAACTCCCAGGTTCCTATTCATGGGCACAGGGTTTATTATCCTATTTGCTAAATTAAAGTATTTCCTCAAGCGTAACCTACAATAGTTTTAAATATTATAACATTCAATTCACAATTCAATCTATTTGTTAATTTAGACAATTACCTATTCACCTAATGTGCTCGATAATAAGCAAAAAATGTGTCCTACGTTCCCATAAATCCAGCCCAGCTAATTGCAAATCAAACCACATACAATAAGACTGACTTGGAATTATTTCCTAATTTAGCCCCATAACCAGTAACAAGTCAAGGTAATCGTTAAAATGCGTATAAATCAAATAAGTTAAAACTCTCTCAATATGCTCTCCGTTTCGGGACATATCTCAACATTGCCTCTTAAAATAATCTCCAATTGAAAAATATATAGGTAGAATTGTTAATGGTTGTTATCAGAGAGAGGTCCCACTCTAAGGAATTTAATTAATTTTACAATGACAAATGCCCCATCAGCGTTAGCGTCAGCGTTTAAACGGAACAGCTACAACAACTCTATTTCTTCGGTTGTGTTTGTTGTCGACGTTACTAATCGTCAACGCCAGCTGGCTGGCCTATCTCGCAGATACGATATCTTTATATCTTCTATTTAAACAAAGTAAGAATACCTAATATCTGCGAAATGAGAAATGGCGAGCGATTGGTGGCGCTAACAATTTCAAGAGTTAGAATTTAAATAATCTCTGGCCAGCCTGCCCCACCCGCGTACGCCCATTAGCCGTCCTTCCGTTCGAAATGGAATGTAGACTTACATAATTTAGTGCTGGAGTAGAGTGTTGTGTTATGGTTTTGGGTAATGAAGACGGTGTTTGAATTTAAATCAAGCCGTGCTTGGAGTAGCCCCGTAGAGTGTATCGTTGACAAAGTGACGAAAATTAAAATAACAATCGAAGAGATGATGGCCAGCGACCAGCAACAAAAACAACCAAAATTAGTTTTTAGCTAAAAGAAATCAAATAGTTTTGGCTGAAGTTGTAACAAGTTTAGTTTTTTTTTTTTACTTTACAACAAACAAGTTTAGTTAGTTTTTCCACACAATGAGAAATAGCGACGTCGGCGGCGATAGCGACCGACAACAACAACTACAACAATATCACATCACAGATCGATTATGCGTTTCACTGACCAGCAACCGCACAGCGCCGAATAAAATCAATTGATTTGTTTCTGTTTTTGTTGAATTTTTCACTTTTAGTTAATATACAAATTGTTTCCCTATTTTTCTTTCCTTACGTTTTATCTACACTTATGCTTGTTTTGCTTTCTTTCCGACGTAGCAGTATTGAAAAATGACTATGGGTTGGTCGTGCTAAACGTTGTCCAAAATATCGAAATGTAAAAAAAAACTCACAAAAATTCCACCGACCGTCGTTGTCAACGTCAAGCAAAAAACAATAAAACACGACTACCGACTAAAACAAAACACACAAAATTTGTTCTATGAAAAAGGCAGCGAGAAAAGTGAAAATCACTCACGGCACTCCAACACACACAAGCACACGTAGTTTAACACAATTGCCAAAAACCGAAGCGAGAAAATCAAAATAACTCATTCATTATTATTAAAATGTCAAGAAATTGTCGTAACTTGTTGAATTGGTTAAAATCGGATGCGCTTCATTAATTAATTAATGAATTGGTGACGAACAAACCTTCCTTCTTCAGCAAAAAAATCACTAAAATCGCAATTATATTCCCTCTCTGGCCGAAGAACATTCACTGGAAAGTGAGTACCGTGAATGTCATGGAATGCTCAAAGTACCGATGACATATGACATCGATTTATAGAATTTGTTATCGATTTTTAAGCCGGCTAAGAAAATTAAAGCTTTGAATAGCCAAAAATTGATGTTCTAACATATGAGCATGGTAGAACTAAGAAGGTAAAGTCATGTAATCATGTTTAAATTTTACATTTAAATTAATACATTTGACTACATCTCATAGTCAAAATCTATATTCATAAATCCATTGTGTACACACAAAATCAGAGATGGGAACTGTTTTTTATGCATTGAAATTTAACAAGGTAAATTACAGAAAATGCAGAGCTGGGAATTCTAATTTGAAATGAGATTGCCTTTATTTCATTGTACCATGCATATGTGTGTTATAAAATAATTGTCATGAAATATTAAATACCAAACTAGGTCTCATCTAAAAATAATTTAATTTTAAGACACTTTTGTGATATCTATTTTATGAACATTTCATGGGTTAACCCACTGGATTTGGATTAAAATTGTCACATTCATTATTGAGAGAATAAACAAATTACTTTTTCGACTGTCTTTACAAATGATTTTTTGGTTGACTTAGTTCGATTTTGGCCCTATGACTTAAGACAAATAAAAAAGTGTTTTATGCATGACAGAAAAATACCGGTAGATGCGACGTCATTCAGAGGTTATTATAATTCGCGTTTTTCAACAATTTTTACAAATTTAAATAATTTTTCATTCAACATTTTCAATTCCAAAATTGGTTTGACAGTTCATAGTCCCAGCAGCTGTGTCGATGCGTCTACCCTTATTCTTCTACCATGGTTTTATGTATGTATTCTCACTTTTACTCTTCAAATAAATCATCTAATAGTAGGTTAAAGGTGAGACTACATAAACAGCTTGAAGTCTTCGCATGGCATATTTTGTGGCATATTATAAAGGGATGCCAGAGCCGCATTCAAATTCTGCCGTCGTTTTACTTTATAATTTTACATTAATATGCCTAGCTATGAAAGGTTAAAGGTGAGAATACATAAAATGTTTTTTTGACTGGCTTAAGTCATCGGCTGGCTTCTTCGGAAAAGAACAAAAGAGCGTAGGGTTAAAATCGAACTAAGTCGACCTAAAACTCCTTTGTTCCACTGCGAAGAAGCGAGCCGATGACCTAAGCGAGTTTTAAAAAAAGGGTTTTATTTAATCTCACCTGAAGGCTAATTTTATTAGTTATCATTTCATGATAACAATTTTGATATTGAACAAATTCCCATTTCATTTGGGAAATTCACCAAAACGTTGTCTTTACCAAAATTGTCGCGTTACCATCGTTCTATGTATTGCGCCACCTACATTCCATATCGTCTAACATAACGCATGTATCGTAGACAAGACCCTTATATTTTTGGGCTATCATTCCAAAGTGAATTGCTTTATATTATCAAACGAGAAACTCTAAATGTGTCGTACAATAAGAATGACATTTCATGAAATTGTTACAAATTGATTAAAATCGGATGTGAATTATTAATTAATTCAAGAACTAATGACGAACAAACGTCCTACTTAAGTATAAAATGTAACAGAAATGAAATTGCGATTTCAAAACAAGGCTATAAAATAAAACCAAAGGCAGAGTGAAAGATATGAAACATGTTGTGAACAAAATTAATTGAAATGACACATTTAATTGATGTTAAGGTTCAACAGATGGCGTTGGAAGTAAAAAAAAATGTAATGTCAGTGCTTACTCATCCGATTATTTTAAGAATTATGTAAATTAATTCTAGCATTTTCCCCTCAAATTTAATACATTTTCCATGTGGTACAGGATATTTTCATTGATTTGTATAAATCATATGTACTGTCTAAATTTTATAGTTTCAACTTCTATTTTTTAATTTTTACGAAAGCTATAAATCAACCCCCTTTCTTTTGTCCCCCAAGCAGAGGCAAATGCCAACCAATTACGATTTAGAGTAATAATTGTAAGATCATTTGGCACTCCCTATTTTAAATTGTTAACGCACGCCAGTCATAATTTTTTGAGTCCAGAAATTGCCTTCATTTCCCTCCCCGATGAGGCCGATTCAATGCAAGAATAGATATGGTGGGCTTGTTTTGAAAATAAAAAAAATAAAATAGAAATGAATTGAATTTATTTAGTTTTAAATAAAAATAAGGTCAGGAGAACTATTCTCGATATTATTGATAGAGAGGGATGTGTGTGTGTATCTGCAAGCCAACGTGAAATAGAGGGTTGATGATAAAATCCCCTTTATGCAGGGGATAATGCAATAATTCTTCATTTTCGACACTCGCAACCTTAACAGACGAAAAATATATAAAGGAGATTAAAATTATATAAAAAGCCAATTAAAGACAAATTGAGTATTGAAATCTTTACTTCGAGTTAACAATGGGCTAATTAAAAATTGTCTATGGCTTCGTAAGTAAATGCCCGCATATTGAAATGTTGCTATTGGTGAATGATTTCGATTTTCGTGGGATATCTGACGATTTTTGAAACCATTATATTTAAATTGATTAGTAAACAAAAAAGATTAAAAAATCGATTAAGTCCTTTAAATAGGCTTGGGAAACGTGGTAAATAAAACGCCTTATATTTTGTTGTAATGTGTTTGCTAATTTAAATGAGAACACAAGAGGACTCTTTCTGAAACCCCTTAAAGTAAGGATACATAAAACGCTTTTTTGTCTGTCTTAAGTCATCGGCTGGCTTCTTCGGAAAAGAACAAAGGAGTGTTGGGCCAAAATCGAACTAAGTGAATCTAAAAACACAACACAAAAATTCTCTTGTTCAACTAGTGTCGAATTAATACTGATGCCGAAGTTGATGAGCTTGATCACATTCGAAGGAAATACGTATTTATTCAAATCTTAGCATTTTCGTTACGATTAGCCCACTTATATTTTCATTCGTTTGCCTAATAAAATCACCTAACATTTGCTTTTTATCCCCCTAAAAATCTCAAGTGGTTTCTGTTTTTTTTTTGTTTCCGAATTTTGTCCAAAATCATCCTCAACGTTTAAACTTGTTCGCCAGCTGTTTTAATTCGCTTATTTTGTTTTTTTTTTTTTTTGATTTGATATCCTTTGATTTTGTTTTTGCCCAATATTACAATTGCAATTAGAGTGGTTGAAATTAGAACAGGGATATCCAGGGATATCGCAGAGCCACCACAGAAACGGTGGTTGCAGCCCAATACCCATTGTTATGATAGATTAATCATTCGGTAAACAATGTGACCTTGTTATAAAAACTCGGTTTCCTTTCGCCGGCAACAAAAATAATAAAAAAAAACAATACCCCATCCTTTTTCTCAATTAGTTTCAGTTGCGTATTTACCCAAAACAAATTTAACCGATACCCCGAATGCAATTGTCTATCACTTGGAGCGTGCAGAGATGATGCAGGAGACCAGGTTGCTACAACGCAAACCCTTTTTAATGTCGGTGGTAACAAATTTTCTATTTTTCCAACTCCATTATCAGATTTGGTGTCTTTTTGTGTCGGGAATAGTGAACGAATTTTCGGGACGCGGTGTGTATGTGTGTGTGTGTGTTTGTGCATAAATTTTTGGTTAACTAATTTGGTGGAAATATTCTCTATGTTTCATACGCGCAATACACAACCTACCCTTTGTTTTCTTTTCATGGCGTTTCATTCTTTATCCTCGGCGAAGTGGGTTAATTTATGCAAAGTTGCGGTTGTCAAAAACAAAAACCAAAAAACGGGGATTGATGACTGGAACATTTCTAAGAATCTGGTGTTTTTTCCGACAGATTTTTTGGTCTGCTCATAGTTCTATTCAGCCATTACTAGCCAACGTAATATGCAAATGCCTTTCAAAGTCATGCTTAACGGCCAGATACAGGCTATTATTACAAGACTCATCCCGTTCGCCTGGGAAAATTGTCATATGTCAAGTGGCAACTTTAATTTCCAATGCAAGGCGAAAAAAATATGTAAATTTAATTTATCGATTTAAACTTGCGTAAGTTTATTGCGAACCATATTAAAATTGCGTAAAGTACGGTCAAAGTCGGTCTTTTGTATTTGTGATTCCATTGAGTTTAAAAAAAATCCTGTGAAACGGAAGCATTATAAGTAGACACTCATAGAAATTAATGGGAACGATGAAAACCTAGTCTTCACTGTTCTATGATGATCAAATACAGGGCGAGATAAAAAAACTGCAACAAAGTCAAACGCCATACCTTTTAATTTTCTTTTAAATTTTATTGAATGAAAGAAAAAATGTCGGAAATAGCAACAAATTTTAGAATAAGTTTAGATTGGTTCGAATTGGTCACCTTTGGCACGAATTATGGCCTTCAAACGGCCAATGAAAACGTCACACGCTGCCCGAATGTTGCTCTGCTGTTGTTCCCGGCGAGGCGCTTGTTTGAGGTGATCGACACTTCGGTATTTTTAGTGCCAACCGTGCTTTCCAAAAGGAATTAGCGATGAACCTTATTTTGTAACCATTCATGGGTGTCGCGTGCTGACTGCGATGGTGCCGAGTCCTGTAGGATGTACCAAGGTCTGAAGCCAAAATGTGTGCGTGTCCAAGGCTTTAATACACCCTCCAGAATATTTTCGCGATAATATTCGGCATTTATTCTGATGCCACGGCCGCACCATGGCCGGCGCTTGAGTTCTGGTGGCCATCCGAAGGTGCACATTTTCAGCTGACCTCTTTGGCAAGTAAACACGCAGTTTGTTTACAAACTGCTGGACAACGGATCTTTTCTCATCGAAGAAAACCAAAAACCAAATTCGGAAGTTCACCACTTTCGGCCAAGCAAAGCAAATGTTTAGCTCGTTTGAGTCTATTTTCTTTCTGTTGCGGTGTAAGTTCTTGCAATTTTTGGAATTTCAATGGCTTTACGAGCTCATTTTTCAATATTTGCCGAATGGAATATTGCGATATGTTCAGCTCACGAGCAATTTTACGGCCACTGCGACGCGGGTTTCAATAACTTTTTGCAATACTTGTACCATAGACAAATAAAGGTATAGACCAAAAAGTTTATAAATTTACCCCTTCTACTAAAGTCACTCAGGGCTAGTAAAGTCACTCGACTTCGAAAACAATTTATTCATTTTTCTGCTATTTAAGTTCTTTATTTTTATATTTCACGACATAGTTGGGTAATGTAAATATAAAAAAGTCACTGTTTCATTTTCAATTGATAAATCATAAAAATATTCAATATTTTGTATTTTGAGAGAGTTAAGAGAATAGTCTTATGCTCTCTCACAGCATGAACGACATTTAATGAAGCACTTTTTTCGAAGATAACTGATGAGACCAGTGTTGCCAACATTTTGAGAGCTAAAAGCGTAATTAAAAATCAGAAAAGCGTAAATGGCGTAAAAATTTTCCTTAAAAAAGCGTAAAAAGCGCTATGTATTTTTTTCTAACCAAAATTGTCAATAAAACACTTTTTTTAAACTAAATACTGTTTTATTCAAAAATTTAGAAGATACGATCTAAATTTTTGAATAAAAGAGTATTTAGTAAACATTTCATGTATATAAGCGCATACATATTTTTAAACAAGTAAAAAAGCAGTAAGTTCGGCCGGGCCGAACTTTGAATATCCTCCACCATTTAAAACGAATTAGGAAATTTACAAAAAAATCCATTAAAAATTCTTTTAAAATCTACAAAAATACACAATATCGGAAGATGCCGATATATTGAGGATATACGATATTGTGGGCCTTACCGACAATTCTTTTTCAGGGGGTTAAGTACTCACAAAGAACTCCTTGAGTAGAATTGCAGACAATTCCATTGAAAAATGTGTCTCAAATAAACCACAACATATATAAATATTTCATGTATATAAGTGTATACATATTTTTAAAAAAAATATGATATATTAGGAACATTTTACATGTGGTTAAAACTTGCAGACATATACATTTTTACAAACAATTATGTTCACCCATAAAACCCGTAGCTTCAAATTCAGTTGAAGTTTTGTAAACTCGTACAACAAAGCAGCCATGTATAAACTTACGTTTTTTTCTCGTTCATTTCACTTTTCCTTCAATTGGTTTACAATACACAAAATTCTTCGTTTTATTATGGTTTATTAAAAAAGAGTAAACAAAAGAACTTCAATGACAGGAATGACACGTAAAGAATTTGCAGTAAAGAACTTCCGACAAGTAGATGTCATACTATCAAAATATTCGAATGTATAAACATTGTCATATTTAAAAATCTAAAACGCGCTATAAGCACCAACAGAAAAGATGAAAAGCGTACGTACAGTGCTTTTTTTCGTTTCGCGCTATGCCCACTATTTTTGGCGTTTTAGGGGGTCTAAAAAGCACCATAAATAGCGCGAAAAGCACTAAGTTGGCATCGCTGGATGAGACAACATTTTAGTCTATATATTTATTTGTCTATGCTCGTACGTGAGAAAGAGAAAGAGAGAAAAAAAATTTTCTGAGCATAGGCTACTGAGTATCACACCTAATGTATGAATATCGACATAAATAACGATAACCAAAAGTGATCAAGCAACATAAATCGAGGAACCATTGTCCCAATACCTAATAATTTTATTGATTGGCAAACGAGGCTCAGAAATAATTGACGAATCCACCCCATAGAAATGCTGTTGCCATTTTATAAGGGGTTTCTACTTTTGTACAGAACAAATTGGCCAATATTGTTTTAGTTTTTTTTTTGTAGTCGCTTTCATTTATTGAAGGGTTGTTCTGCGTTTAAAGGAAACAAAAGAAAAAATGGCTAGGCGGTTTTCACAACTGTAAGTGAAAGCTAATATTTTTGTTAAACACATTTTCCAATTCCAGCAATATTTTCACTTTCATTAATTCCCTTTTCTTATTTCATTTAAATTTTTCATAACAGGTGCTTGTCATCGCCAACTGAGGGATGGGATTAAAATTTAGTGGAGAAACTCTCTCGTTTTTTAATTGGAAAGAATGCAAACGAAAATCGCGGCAGATGTTTAACATGTGCTCTAGGCCGGTACTTTAACATGTTTTTTTGTTTTGTGGAGGAGTCCCAATGCAGTAGTTGAGGTTGGAGTAATCAATACCAAAGTGTTGTTGGACCCTCGGAAATATCATGGAAATTAAGAGCCTTATAATGAGTTGACAATTATTTGAATATTTTGTTTGGTTTTTGTGTACCCCCTATTCTATTTTTAAGGAGAAGAATTTCCTAGAATTGTTGATCTCACGTAACCTCAATCATGCTGTAGGTTTTTTTCTTTCTTTCCTCATCCTAAAACAACAAATGCTGTGCCGATTACTTTCTTGGTATGAAAAGGTTAAAAATGTAAAAAACTAACCCCCCATAACTAAATCAATTGTCGTGTTGATTGGTGATCGTTATCTGTTACCAATAGAGAGAAACAACAACAATAACTCCAATGAAAAAAGGATCTCTATTTTCGAAATGTCTTCAAAATATCCACCTATACGAGATGGTAACATTCTTTGTGGGATATTGTTTTTCTAGTTCTTTTTTTTAAGAATTAAGGGTCACAGAATAAAAAACGAGAGGGAATCCAAGGAATGTAGCATCAGATCGGCTGACATGCGTACATACATGAATTGACAAGTTTTTGACATGGCCATGCAATTAAAGTTACCTTTTGTCGGCACGAAATGAGATCTTCAAAGTCAGCTGATGAAATCTTCTCTCAAATTGATCAATGAAAACGATCTAGAATTGTCCAACAACAAAACTCCAGCACCGGCAGCAGCCGAAGAGGAAGAATAAAAGGATTATGTGTATTAAAGTAGCAAATAGGTATTTGTTTAATTTAGAGGAGATAAAAGAAAAAAAAAAAATAGAAAAGAAATTGGAAAATGGAAAACTGAGACAGATGACATAGCACACAGTTGTCGAATCGTTTAAATGTGTGTTGTTTACAACGTTTGATAAATATCAGAAGAGTAAAATTAATTACATTTCAAGGATTAGTTGGCTGGTATTGATTTAGGCCATGAAAGTCCTATTGTTAACAGAATAGACATATGGAACACAAAACTGATCACACACACACATAAATATAAATACATATTCCATATTGAAGTTCACTTTTTATTTTACCCAAACATATAATTCGCATATTTTGGCCACATTTTTTTCTGGCTTTTTAGGCATCTCTATGTAGCAGGACCGTTTTTTTTTGTGTTTACAGCAGGATCAGCCTAGGATCTAGCAACAATATCGTGGCAGCCAGTTGCGCTGCTCGCTTACCTCATAGATGGCTCATTGCTTATTCTTGGTGCATTGGAGAGCAATGAGTGCGACTTATGCACGTCCAGATACAAGATTAGTCCATTTATGGCAATTACGCTTTTACAACCAGCCTAAACCTTGAGCCACATTATTTGTGGCCATTGGATGTGTGTGTGTGTGAGTGTGTCTGTTTGTATTTTATGTAGTTACTTGCAATAAACCAAGAACAACAACAACAACAACTGAAAAAGGAAAAACACATAAAACCAAAACGTTCATGAAGAGTTCAAGAAGCATTAGCTATCAAATGCTAAAATCTATGGCGCGTATTTAAAGGCTGTTAAACGCGTTCTCTACGTTTTTTCGGTTGTGCGCTTTTCTTTGGGCATCTTGCCGCTCCGACGCGACTCGTTGTGCAGTTCATGTTTTTCGGGCAGCGTGCCTTTTGCTGGCTTTTGTTCTCATTCTTTAATCAAAGTTGCATGTGCAGCATTTTCAACTTTGAACGGCTGTGGCAATGGCATCGGCCCCGTCCCTGGTTGCTGTTGCAGTTGTTTTCTTTAATGTTTTCTAATAAAAACAAAAAAAAACCCTCGAAAAAACTATAGCAACGCTGCTGAAAAGCCTTTCAACGCATTTAAAAGATGATTTAAATCTTGAACGCGTGTTGAAATTCTAATGCTTTCCTAGGCATTTTTTCGTTTATTCTCTCGGAAAAAAACAACAACTGAAATATTTGATAAAAATCGTAGTACGTGGTTTTCCGGTTTTCTGCACTATTCGCTTGCATTGTCTCGCCTAATTTTTACAGCAGCCAATGACTAGTCTCTTCCATTCCATTGAAATATGCTAAGCATTTGTTTAATTCAATCATTCGGAACTGGTTGTGAGTCATAAAGAAATTGAACAGAACCATTTAATATATTTTAAATTTGTTTTGTTTAAGGGATTTGTTTATAATGATTTTGGATTCTCCATTTTGAATCGTTTTTGCAACCTTTTCTCGAAAATCGTTAACCTACCTCATGGTAAAATTAAGAGCATTTTTCGTATTTTATCTTGTCAAATTTTCCATCTCTAATTTGTGTATTTACAGGGTGAGATGAAAAACTGCAACAAAGTCAAACGCCATAATTTTTATTTTTTTTTAAACTTTTATTGAATGAAAGCATAAAATGTCGGAAATAGCATCAAATTTTGGAATTAGTTTAGATTTGTTCGAATTGGTCACCTTTGGCACGAATTTTGGCCTTCAAACGGCCAATGAAACCGTCACACGCTGCCTGAATGATGCTCTGCGGTATTTTGGCCCATATGTATTTTTTAGTGTCAACCTTGTTTTCCAAAATACTCCAGTGACAATAGTCCAACGGATTGGTAACCGGAGATTTTGGTGGCCATTGTGAGCTGGAAATGAAGCGAGGAACCTCATTTTGTAACCATTCTTGGGAGGCGCTTGCTAAGTGAGATGGTGCTGAGTCCTGTTGGAATGTCCAAGGTCTGCGCCCAAAATGTTTTCGTGTGCAAGGCTTTAATACACCCTCCAGAATATTTTCGAGATAATATTCGGCATTTATTCTGATACGAGCGGAGAGCGACCATCGGCTGTTATGGTGGCCCACATTATCACTATGGCTGTTGGAGTTCTGGTGGCCAACCGAAGCTGCACATTTTCAGCTGACCTCTTTGGCAAGTAAACACAATAATTTTGTTTGTTTACAAACTGCTGGACAACGAATATTTTCTCATCGGAGAGAACCAAATTTGGCAGTTCACCAGCTTCGGCCTAGCGAAGCAACTCTTTTGAGTCTATTTTCTTTCTGTTGCGGTCCAAGTTCTTGCACTTTTTGGAATTTCAATGGCTCATTTTTCATTATTTGCCAAATGAAATATTGCGATATGTTCAGTTCACGAGCCAATTTTCGGTCACTGCGACGCGGGTTTCGATCAAGTCGTTTCCTTACTTTTTGAACCATTTCTGCTGATGTTGCTGTTTTTTTTTCGTCCACTTTCTTGACGTCGGGCTACGCTACCAGTATCACGGTAATGAGCGATGGTATGAGACACAAAAAATTTATTCACATTTAAATGCTGGAGTGCTCCACTTGTGGTTTTCCAGCCAAATATAAAGAAATCACACTATCACGCTTGGATTCCATCACGAATAACTTCTTATCTGGGAAATTCTCAGCAAAATGCTTTTGTACACTTGTAAACAATATATCTCACCCTGTATATACTTTGTGGGAAATAAAATGTATATTTAGGAATGAAAAACTTTATACCCTCTATACTATGGTGGAGGGTATAAAAACTATGATTAGTTCACATTTTTAGTATATGTAGCAACACGTACGAAAGAACAATTGAAAGAAAAAGAACGACGCCAGGGAAAGATTCCAATGAACTATTTGGAACAAAGGAACTTATTTAGGAACTAGTTCCTTTTGAAAAAAGGAACGAGAAAGATCAATTTGCTTCGTGAACTAGATTGTCCTACACTAGGGGTAACCCATCATCACAGAAGACTGTAGGGCACCAAGGACTTCATCATAAATTTCACAAGATTGTCTTCGATCATTTTCCTCGTATCCTTAAATTAAAACACAATTATTTTTATTATTATTTATATATTATACAATTACACTGCTTTTAATTGATAAATAAAAATAAATCACAATGTTTTGTGTATTGAGAGAATTGAGTGAATAGTCTATTCACTCAATTCTCTCAATACACAAAACATTGTGATTTATTTTTATTTATCAATTAAAAGCAGTGTAATGGCCTGATATAAGTTTATATACAAATTTGCAATTCAAATATTATAAAAATTAATAAACTGTGCTCGAAGTCGGGTTACTTCCCATGGTGGCATCAGCCGGGAAGGATAACAATTTTCTCATGGTGAAGGAAAGTTCTGCCTTGTCGAACCTTCGAACTCTTAAGAGATCTTTTTTAGTTTTCCTTTTTTAATAAAATATCTGTGTACTTTTTGTTCATGTCCAATGTTTAACTTCTGAAACCGCTTGTTTTTGAGAGACAGATCAATACAAATTTAAAATACAATTTAGTGGTATTCAAAGTTTATTCCGTATTGATTTTTAATCTGCAATTCTTCTTTGAAAAAATGTGTAGGCCCTGTAATGCCGTAAATCGGCAATAGATTTTTTATTGCCATGAAACCCCGAAAATAATAGGATTTGAAAGCTTTTAGTTAGTTACACATGTCAGGCCATTCATCAAAAAACCCCTAACGGAAACAACATTTGGCCATTAAATTTTTATTTAACAAGTCGCATCGGGCCCACATTTTTATGTAATTGAAAACTATGAGTGTGTTTCCGATAAAATTGAATATGAATGGAGAAATCCATATTTAATCCACAGTTCAATCCAATTGTGGGCCATAATAAAAGTTGAAGAAAAGCAGTTTTTTCTCCTTCTACTTTTTAGCACAGCATCAATGATAATTTCAATAAAATGCATTTTTAATGTTATTCTATCAATGCCATGTGAGATGATAATAATAAAAAAATAAATAATTTTCGAAATTTCATGCAACCTGCCACACCACACCATACATACCTGTTCGTAGCCGCGGCCAATTCCAAACGCATTGTCTATCGCTTTTCATTATCATTCAAATTATTCTCCACGATCCGGCAGATACGTTGGGAAAGCGCATGGCGTTTGATCCAATCCCTTTATTGTTATATTTGTTGCTGTTGTTGTTAGCTTGGTGGTTATCGCTTTTCAATGTGCCGAGTATGCCGAGTCTTATCTTTGGCTGGTCAGATTTTATAGATTTTCGTTTTTCATTATTGGAGGTGAAATATTTTAATTATACCTACCGTGGCAAGTGGACAATGCCGGCCGCTGGCACCACAACAGCCGCATCGGCAGCGGAAACCTAACAATGTTGTCGTTGAAATTTATGAATTTGACCCAATTCAAAGAACAATGGATACCGACCGCGGATTACCAGAAATAGGTGTAA